ATGCATACTGGCAAAGGAGAAAAACAATGCTCACAGGTCTAAAACGAAGACGTCAATAAATACCTTCGAGTTATCTTTCTTAATGAATGCTCCTGGCACTGTCTCTGTCAGTCTGCCAGATGTAATTCTTTCTTCCAATAACACAGGGAACTTTTTCTTTGAGCTTCAAATACAAGCATCTTGGTTTCTTTGTACATGTATAGATGCATGTATGTGTGTGCCTGTGTGTGTGTATGTGTATATGCATGTGTTTATGTGTGTATGTATGTGAGAGTGTGTGGCTTTCATGCAAATATGTGCCAGTGAGCACATTTATATGCTAGAAGAAGAAGTTGTCCTGCTCTATTGCTTTCTACTTTGTTCCCTTGAAACAGAGTCCCTCAGTAAACCTGGAAGTTCTTCGCCAAGGCTCAGAGAAGAACCATCTCAACATATAAGGCATTTACAGGACACCTAGAAACGTACTACACAGTATAATAACGTATTTTAAAGAATTTGTTTTATAAGGGAAAAGAGAGGATGGCATTAGACAAAGACTTTACCACCTGCTGATAGAGACGAAAGATGGCCAGCAAACGTAGCAAAACTCCTGTCTGCACTGGGGTTACAGACATGTACACAACCACACTTATATTTTTTCCAGCTTAAAATACAACAGCAAAAACAAAACAAACTTAGGTGCTGGGGATTCTAACTCAGGTCATCATACCAGCACAGCAAGCCCTCTTCCGATGCAGTCATCTCCTTGGTCTTTTAGAAACAAGTATTTGCAAATTTGTCAGAGTTTTATATCTTAACACTTTTTAATTTCATATGCTTTTTTCCATCTTGGATAAAAGAGGAGAGCCTGTAGGCCTATATTTCTACATGATATGGTGACCAGAATTTCAGGCCACAGTTTGCACCTGCAGTACAGGAGGTGGTCACCTACCACTTACAGACAGGCTGTCACTAGGGTCAGAATATGCTAATGCTGTTTTGCTCCCTCTTTGTAACTTGGAGGAAGCCTGAGATAGAGAAGCTAATTTGGCCTAGGTGACAGGCTGGCATACAGAGCAGAAAGAAAAGAAGCCTTGGCAGAAAGGGCATATAAAGATGTGAACATGACTAAAGTAATTCACCTGGTTACCTAGGAAACAAAATACTAATAAATTTACCCTCAGTTTACGTTTTGGTGTAAAGGCTGTTGGGAGAATAAACATGAGGAATTTTCTGGATGTGAACTCAGGATTTCATGAGGACCACTGAGAATCTCTCTCCCAAAAAAGCCATGTGAGTTGTGTCTTTAATCCCATGCCTCCCCTCTGGTCCAGAGAAATAATTTATGGTCCAGACTGACACCGGACCACAAGAGCTCTAAAAGTTGTTTCTTTTACTTCAAGAGTACCTATGGTTTGCCAATGAGATAAAGAATGTGTAACTAGCAACTTCAGTTCTTCCAACTATCCTGAAAATACCTTTATTATAAGCATTTTATTAAAATAGAACACAAAACAGAACTTAGAACCATCTAAGATAAAAAAACATTTTAATAGATTTTATATTCTCACAAATCAATTCCAAAAGCTGTTGTGCCCAGATCACAACCCCCAGAGGGAGACTACCAAAGAGAGCTGACTGGACTGCAAAATACAAGGTTAACCCCTTTATTGTACAGGCCAGTCAGGAACTTCTTCCATACCCCAAAACTGCAAGGTAGCAAAGTCGAGAGAGAAGCTAAAGTTCCTCTGTCGTGTTAGATTTTTAAAGATGAAACTACAAAGAGTTTTTTCAGAGCTGCTTTGGAACAGGTGCAAGGTAGTTTGCTCTTTCCCATAGCTTGTTCTTTGTTTTTCTTTATCATCAGGTGGTTGGGTAAGTGTCCTTGTGCTTTGCAATTTCTCGTGGGGGGGGGGGGGAGAAAAGCATTATCTTTCTGTGAAGCTAGTCTGTGTTTCTAATTTTAAAACATTCTGCAAGGTAATTCTCATCCGTTTGAGAATAAGGGGTGAATTTCTCACAAAGCAACATGTAAATTAAAATGTTTTTATCTACCATTTTTAGGAAAACAATTTAGATTATACGAATTATGAAAAATTGGCAGAAATAATGGAAGCATTCATTTCAACACCAAGCCAATTAAAATATCCATTAACACATGCAGTAATACACAGGGACGCCTTACTAATTTACTTCAGTAATTTAAGATCTATATACATTACAAAGTCTTTTAATCTCATTTGATTTTTCTCAAGCTCTCTCTGGTTTCTACAACTAAGTAGCATTACATTGTCTAATGTAACCCTTTTGTTTTTCACTCAGAAAGGTAATTTATTTTACATACTCACATGCTGTGTAGTATGTTTTTGGATACCCTCAAATTGCTGTAAATTTGGTACACATTCCATCTCCCACAAATCCTGGCAGAAAATGTTCAGAGTAATGAGCAAACTGTACTGGTTCTTGGTTAAGATGAGACCAAACAACATCCTGAGGGTTCAGCTTAGGTCATGGATTGACACTGACCTGACCTTCAGTAGGAGGTGTTTCATATCATTCTGAAGTGTATGCAGTGAGAAAATTATTGTGCAATTAAGAGAGTTTTATCACACTAACCATTAGGCACCCTGGATCTTTAACCCTGGATTGCTTAAGCTAAAGACATAACTCAGCTTACAGATAACTTGCTTAGCATGGATGAGGTCCTGGATTTTATCCCCAGTGCCATCCAAACCACATTTGGTAATCCAGACCTGTAATCCCAGCACACAGGAAAATAGAGGAAGGAGAATCAAAGATCCTTGACTATCTTGGGAGTTTGAGGCCAGCCTGACCTACATGAGACCCCATCTCAAAGAAACAAAACTAAAAGCAAACAACAATAACAACATGAAGAAACCCTGCTTTATATACTTTACCCCTCCCTCTACACACAGCAGCTGACCTGAAAAGAAATTGAATTCTCAGACAAAATTACTGACTAGCCAGTGTCACACAGCTAGTGAAAGTACTGAGATTAAAAGCCATTTCTGATCTCATGACTGAAGTCTATACAAGCATCAAACTTTTAGAAATGAAGGAACTGTTTGGGAATGTTCCTTTGTACATACATGCATGTATTACACACTTCAACAGTACACAGGTACTATGCTCTGCTTTCCTCATCAGCCTAATGTTATGGCAGAATCATCTTTCTGTGTATGTGCTCTATAGTGCTGAATGCCACATTCTCAATGTGCTCCTTGTTAGAATTCATAACAAATTTCTCTAATATTGGTCATGTTAATTCTTTCTAGCTTTTTATACATATATAAATATGTATAAATATACAAATATATACATATATATTTACCTATATACATATGCAAAAAGATATTAATTTCTTTACCTGCGTACCCTTCTCTTTCTTTCCACTCTCTCTCTTTCTCATTTTCTCTTTCTTTTGGTAGGTCTCTAGCCCCAGGGTGGCCTGGAACTCATAGAATTTATATTACTGAGAATGACCTTGAAATTCTGATTTCCTGCCTCCACCTCCCACATGCTGTATTGTAGACATGCACCATCACACCTCATTTACTTAGTACTGGGGATCAAACCCAGAGCATCCTACATACTAAGCCAGCAGTCTACCAATAGAACTACATCTCTATCCCAGGATGTTTGTTTCTTAAGCTATGTTCAATTGTGGAGGCTAAGAACTTTCTCTCTGTGTGAACATAAAGGTAATACTTTCTCTAAGCTGCCAAAAGCAGTTTAATCAAGAAACAACATTATCATGTATTGTAGCATTCATCTTATTGCATATGTTACATATAAGACAAGTAAAAATATAAATTAAAAGAAAAGCAAATGGTAATTTAAGAAAGTTATTTCCACGTGGATACTCAAATAAAAGAGTATAGAAGAAAACAACAGTTTTGGACTACATATAAAAATTTAGACTATTTTTCCTCAGAATTGATGAATTTGAAGGAAATGGAGTCATAAAATATTTTACATAATAAATTTTTTAATAATTCAAATCGGCTAAAAGAACCTGCATAGTTATAATACTAGCAAGCTAAAAAAATCATTTCCACTTAAGAGGGTACTCTTTAGATTATAAACATCTGACAACCACAACAGTGAAATGTGTGCTCTATTCTTAAGTAGAACCAGTATGAATTTACATGTAGAATCAGAGTATAAATTCAAACAGCAGATCACTAAGGGATTCGAGATTGCTGCAGCTGGCCAATTTGTTTTAAGTATCTGTCATTCTCCATCTCTTTCTTCCCCCTCTTCTCCTTTCTCTCTCCTTATCTGTGCTGGTTGATATTTTTTCAATATCAAATAATGGAGAAGACCTTCCTACCAGGATACCATCACATGCAGACATGAGATTGTAAACACAGGTCTAGCAGTGTGTTCATCAGCTCTGTGTTTTCAGCAACTAATTGCTATGCAGAATATAAAAAAATATGGATTTTCTAAAAGGTACCACTTCTAAGGAAACTAGAAAATTTATAAAATTTTCTCCTCTTTCCCATTGAACCTTAATGAAATCAATTGCATGTGGTTGCTAGAAATGGAGGCAGTAAGAACGATGCATAGGCTGAGGGGCAGTAGAGGCAGGCATGTTTTCAAGTTATACCAATTCCATCTTCACACCTTTTTTTAATGATTTTCCAAATTCCTCAAATGCACCCACACAAAAGCTTCAATTAATGTGGATGTATTTTGAGCAACTTCCCCTTTAAAACCTTTACTTTAATTTCCTTCCTTTCGATGAGATGAATGGAACATGACACAGGGTGTAGCTCAATGCTGATGCACGGCTTGCAGACAAACTCCCAGTCAGGAGAAGCAGCTAGCATAGAGATTAAATCAGGCAATTTTGGGTAGATAAGAGGCCAGCCAGGGTCAGATTTGACATTCAATGAAACCTTGTGATCAATCAGTCCTTTCTTCACCCTTCCAGGTTTCTGCATGAAATAACCCTAAGAAGGAGATGTGGGAGAGAGCGAAACGTCCATCTTCGGGTCGCAGCAGCATTGGTGGTGTTGATCACCTGGGAGCGAATTAAAAATGGGTGATGTTGAGAAAGGCAAGAAGATTTTTGTTCAGAAGTGTGCCCAGTGCCACACTGTGGAAAACGGAGGCAAGCATAAGACCAGACCAAACCTCCACGGTCTGTTTGGGAGGAAGACAGGTCAGGCGGCTGGATTCTCATACATAGATGCCAACAAGAACAAAGGCATCACCTGGGAAGAGGATACTCTGATTGAGTATTTGGAGAATCCCAAAAAGTACATCCCTGTATCAAAAATGATCTTCGCTGGAATTAAGAAGAAGGGAGAGAGGGAGGACCTAATAGCTTATCTTAAAAATGCTACTAAGGAGTAACTCCACTGCCTTATTTATTACAAAACAAATGTCTCATGATTTTTAATGTGTACTGTAATGTAATTCATATCCCAAAATTCAGATCATGAATGGCTAACAATGTTTTGTTGGACAGTCCTGATTTAAATAAAAACTGACTTGTAGAAAAGTGGATATGATCTTTTTTTAAAGTAACAATTCCAGTTTCATAAACACTATCACTGCTCTCCCTTTCTCAAGATACGATTGGACTTAATTATTACAGTTCTACTTTCCACAAAGATGGGCGTGTCACCTCAAACCTACTAAAGGTCTTATAATTAAATTTATATAATTAAACATATGAATATATTTAAACACTGGGAAAATTCTGTCACCATCTCAGAAGCAAGAAGACTCACCTGTGGTAAAGTTTGTATTCCCTACTGTTACAGGCAATGGCTAAAGGTCAGGAGGCAACTGTCTATTCCAGACGCAATGGTGTTATTTTATTAGAATTCCCTAGGTCAAAGGATGCTGCCTTTTACCATTGAAAGGCACTTACTGTGGTCTATGTATAATATATCAAATAGTGATAATTTGCAATGTTTAAAAAAAAAGATGTGGTATATTATGAGGAGCCAAAGCAACACATTATGAACGGAGACAGGTATCAATATTATCAAAGAATCAGTCAGCAAACAGAAGCCCCTGCCTTGCTGTCTTTGCTCTTTTCAAGTGGTAAGTGTTCTTTCATGATGGTAAATCCAAACCTAGGAGCTGTCAAGACAGCTATGAATCTACTTCTTAACATCTTGTATATCCTGTACATTAAACTATAAACTTGGAACATTCTCTTAAGATTAAATTTTAGGAAGTCCGCACTGTTTGGATAGAAGAGTCACCTCAGCCACTAATGTCCTTATCTATAAGATTCTGGAATGTTTGGTTGAAAGCATCACCCCAGCCCCTGGCATCCATTTTGGAATATTGGGTGGAATGCTCCATTTCAAAGCTCTCTTCTTTGGGAGTTGCCTCAGTCCAAACTCCACCTCCAATAAAGCCTGCCAAATGGTGACGCCTCCCCATGGAAGGTCAAGACCATTTCCATAGGCTATTTAAACTGTCCCCCAGGGAATATACACTTATTCTTCCCTTTTCCCTCTCCGGTAGTCATTCCAGTTCTCCTTTCCCCTTCTCCGTGTTTTCCCGAGGGGCCATCTGGGAGTGCTGGCATCCTTTAATCCTGGACTTTTAATTAGGCCTGATTTAGTCCAATTTAGATTATTGCATTGGTAGAGACGCTTACCAGGCCAAATAAAATTCTTAACACTCACTCTGTTTTTTCATGTCTTCAAACACAAATATGTGCTGTGTTTGAGGGTTTTATTTGTTTTTCATCTGACGAACACACATACACACCATAGAAACCTGGCAGTGAGGAATCAGGACTCTTACTGTAAATAAGGTCACCGACCCAGACCAGTGTACTGTCACTGAGAAGGCCATGAAAAGCAAATGACTCTGGACACCTTGTTCTAAATTGTTTCCGTTAGTGGTGCTGAGAAAAAGGTGGGCTGCCAAGCATCATCCTATGTATGCCTTTTATAGGGATGACACAGAAGTCGAGAATTTTCAGGAATTTCAGGAATACCATAGGAATAGTTCAGGGATATCCCTGCTCTATTCACCCCTCCACTGATCTCTCTCTTACCTATTTCCCTGCCAGCCACATTAACGACTTTTATGTTCTCATGAAACACATTCTCTAAAGATTTTCTGGCAAGCACTACACAATTGGAGCTGAATTCCTCCTACTTCGTGAAGCATGATTAGTAAAATTTCAGGGACAGATACTGGGGTTCAATCTGAAGATTTGAATAGCAAAATAGTCAGTCACTTACTCTTACCTTGACCTCAGTCTGAAAGGGCGATCCTTCCTCCAGGAATCTCAGACTGAGACAGACTGTGAGCTGTCTTCTCCAGTTTTATAATCCTCTCAAGGGCTGGGATTAAAGGCATGCACCACCTGGTTTCTATGACAGCTAGTGTTGCTACTGGGATTAAAGGTGCTTGCTACCACTGCCTGGTCTGTAAGGGACCATTGGGGCTGTTTTACTCTCTGATCTCCAGACAAATGGTAATTATTAAAATCCAAATGAATTGCCACTAAGTCCCTGATCCACATTGGGAAGAAAAAACTGGGAAAGAGAGCTATCAGAATGGGAAATGTAGAACAGGCCTGAGACAGCAAACTCCACGGGAGCAGGACTGAGCCAGTGACTTGGGCAGAAGCAGGCCTGGGACAGTGAACTCCACGGTAGCAGGACAAATCCAGACCAGGGACATTTGTGAAAGCAATACTGGGCCAGCTACATAGGCCAGAACAGGCTTGAGGCAGTGAGCTTCATGAGAGTGGGACTGAGCCAGTGACCTAGGCTGGAGCGGGCCTGAGAAGACAAGTTCCATGGGAGGGGGAGCAGATTCAGACAAGGAACATTTGTGGAGGCAGAACTGAACCAGCGATCTGGGCTGAAGCAGACCTGAGACAGCAAACTCCATAGGAGCAGGTACAGGTTAGCAACTACTGAGCAAATGGGCCATCAAGGGAGTAGACCTGAGCCAGGACCTCTGTAGGACTGGTCATGAGTCTTGGACCTCTGAGGGAGTAGGCCTAAGCCAGGTCCTGTATGGTTCCTGGTGCACCCAAGTCTGGGACCTCTGAGGGAGAAGATCAGAGTCAGAGACATTTGCAGGACCAACCTCAAACCAGGAACCTCTGCAGGAGAAGATCCAAACCAGGGTCATTACTCAAAGAAGAGAAACACACAAACTCTACTACACACCTACACACACACACACACACACACACACACACACACAAATAATAAATGGAATCAACAACCACCGGTCATTAATATCACTTAATATTAATGGACTCAACTCACCTATACAAAGGCACAGACCTAGAGACTGGATAAGAAAACAGGATCCATCATTCTGCTGTTTATAACAAACACACCTCAACCACAAAGATAGACATCTACTCAGAGTAAAGGGGTGGGAAAAGGTTTTCCAAGCAAACGGACCTAAGAAACAAGCTGGTGTGGCCATTCTAATATCTAACAAAATTGACTTCAAACTAAAATCAATCAGAAGAGACATAGATGGACACTTCATAATAATAACAGGAACAATTAATCAGGAGGAAGTCTCAATCCTGAATATCTACACCCCTAATATAAAAGCACCCACTTATGTAAAAGAAAAACTTTTAGAACTCAAGGCAGTCATCAAACCACACACATTAATAGTAGAAGACTTCAACACACCTCACTCACCAATGGACAGATCAATCAAACAGAAACTCAACAGAGAAATAAGAGATTTGCTAGAGGTAATGAATCAAATGGACTTAACAGATATCTATAGAACATTCTACCCAAAAAGGAAAGAATATACTTTCTTCTCTGCAGCTCATGGAACCTTCTCGAAAATTGATCACATACTCGGTAAGAAAGCAAACTTCCACAGATATAAAAAAATATTAGTAATCACCTGTGTCTTGTCGGATCACCACGGAATAAAGTTAGAATTCAATAACAATTCGAATACCAGAAAGCCTACAAACATGTGGAAGTTGAACAGTCAACTACTGAATCATCCTTGGATCAAGGAAGAAATAAAGAAAGAAATTAAAGTCTTCCTTGAATTTAATGAAAATAAAGACACAACATACTCAAACCTTTGGGACACAATGAAAGCAGTTCTAAGAGGAAAGTTCATAGCACTAAGTGCCCAATTAAAGAAAACAGAGAAAGCATATATTGGAGACTTAACAGCACACCCAAAAGCTCTGGAAAAAAAAGAAGCAGACTCTCCCAAGAGGAGTAGAAGATTGGAAATAATCAAACTGAGGGCTGAAATCAACAAAATAGAAACACAGAAAACAATTCAAAAAATCAATGAAACAAAAAGTTGGTTCTTGGAGAAAATCAACAAGATTGACAAACCCCTATCCAAATTAATCAAACGGCAGAGAGAGAACACTCAAATTAATAAGATCAGAAATGAAAAGGGGGACATAACAACAGACACAGAGGAAATTCAGAGATTCATTAGATCTTACTACGAGAGTTTATATGCCACAAAGTTGGAAAATGTACAAAAAATGAATTGGTTTTTAGATAAATACCATTTACCAAAGTTAAATCAAGACCAAGTGAACAATCTAAATAACCTGTTAGTCGCGAAGAATTAGAAGCTGTTATCAAAAACCTCCCCACCAAAAAACGCCCAGGACCAGATGTTTTCAATGCAGAATTCTACCAGAACTTCCAGGAAGAGCTAATACCTATACTCCTTAATGTATTTCACAATATAGAAACAGAAGAATCATTGTCAAACTCTTTTTATGAAGCTACAGTTACCCTGATACCAAAACCACACAAAGACACAACCAAGAAAGAGAATTACAGGCCAATCTCACTCATGAACATTGACGCTAAAATACTCAATAAAATACCTGCAAACCGAATCCAAGAATACATTAGAAAAATTATCCATTATGATCAAGTGGGCTTCATCCCAGAGATGCAGGGCTGGTTCAACATACGCAAATCTATCAATGTAATCCATCATATAAATAAACTGAAAGAAAAAGAACATATGATCATTTCATTGGATGCTGAAAAAGCATTTGACAAAATTCAACACCCCTTTATGATAAAGGTGTTGGAGAGATTGGGTATACGAGGATCATACCTAAATATAATAAAAGCAATATATAATAAGCCGGCAGCTAACATCAAATTGAACGGAGAGAAACTCAAAGCCATTCCACTAAATCAGGAACACGACAAGGCTGTCCACTCTCTCAATACCTCTTCAATATAGTGCTCGAAGTTCTAGCAATAGCAATAAGACAACATAAGGGGATCAAGGGGATTCGAATTGGAAAGGATGAAGTTAAACTTTTATATTTGCAGACGATATGATAGTGTACATAAGCGACCAAAAAACTCTACCAAAGAACTTCTACAATTGACAAACAAGTTTAGTAATGTAGCAGGATACAAGAT